CCTGTGGCGGCAGGCCGAGAACGCGGCGCTGCAAGAGAACGTGGCAGGTAACCTGGCGCTCTCCCCTGGCAGGCAGGGCGGGGTGCCGTGGGTGGGGAGAGGGGGGCTGGGCCGGCGGGCGCCGTGGGGCGGGAGCGAGGCAGTAACCAGGTCCCGCAGCCCTGCAGGAGCGCTTGGAGAAGGAGGTGGCCCGGCAGGCCGAGGGGCAGGGGGGCGCCCCCCAAGCTCCGGGCCCCGCCGGGGAGGCCGTGGCCGGGCCGACGCTGCCTTCGGCGCTGGAGCTGAAGTGGGAGACGGAGCGGGAGGAGAAGAGGCTGCTGACGGAGCAGCTGCAAGGCCTGGAGGTCAGTGGGGGGCACGGCCCCGAGGGGGAAGGGGGTCCTGGGCTGGGGGCTCCCCTGGGTCTGACCCCCTCCCCCCCTGCTCTCTCCCCAGGCGGCCAAGCAGGCAGAGATCTCCCGGCTTCAGGACGAGCTGAATAAGGTGAGTGGGACCCCGGATCCCTGACCCGGTGTGTGTGTGGGGGGCCTGTGGTGACCCCTTCCTGACGGCGTCTCCCTCCTCTCTCTGCAGCTCGCTGAGAAACTGAAGAAAAAGCAAGAGAGGTAGGGGCCAGGACGCCTGGGTTCTCTCCCGGCTCTGGCGGGGGGAGCGGGACGCCTGGGTTCTCTCCCGGCTCTGGCGGGGGGAGCGGGACGCCTGGGTTCTCTCCCGGCTCTGGCGGGGGGAGCGGGGGGAGCCGGTGCCCCCTAGAGGGCCGGGCCCCACACCCCACAACCAGGCAGTTGGGGTCGGAGGTGACCGTGGGCTTTTGTCTCCCAGTTTCCTGCGGCTGCAGACGGAGAAGGAAGCTCTGTACAACGACAGCAGGTGAGACGCGCCCGCTGCATCCATCCGGCTCCCTGGGCGGGGCCGGGCGCATTGCGAGTGTGCGCGCGCACACACACACACACCCCCACAGGGCTCAGCCTGTCCAGCAGGGGGCGCAGGGACACACACACACACACACACACAC